ACATTTTTACTTGCTTTCAAAGCATTTATTTGTTAAGTGACTACACTCTTGTCAGATTTTAAACAATTGAAGGCTTTCATGCAAAAAGAGCGTATGTACCATTTTGGGTCGATTTTTATTTTTTGCAGGATCGAGCTAAGTTTTGGCAGACTGACTTGTTTTGACTTGAAAAGCATTGTTGCGTAATTGTTTTTGTTGATTTGCACTTCGTTTTCGAGAAATAACGTATGCAGAAAAACTCAGTTTTCCGAGCAGCAGCTTTTCGACCAAATCCTTTGAAGGTGGATTTTGACGCAGCGCGAACTTAAACGGTTATGTTTAGCAGCTTGGACAGCACGATTTTTTTTAAATAGATGTTTTGATTTTTGAAAGAGGTAGAGAAATAGACCGGAAAAAAAATCGACCAACCTCGTATCAAATTGGTGTCACGACAAAACAAACTCGGATGCAGCCCGTTCAGCGCCTTATCCGCTGGTGCTAACGAAGCAACAATAAGAGAAATGCGTAATTATATAAATAATAAAATTAGCGGCAAATACCACGTTTCGGTGACTTCATCGTTTAGCGAAACAAGGTTTCTTTTGTTTTTCGCTCAACAAAAGATCCCCAAAAGATACCCTTGGCAAACTGAGTTTTTTGCATACGTTATTTCTCGAAAACGAAATGCAAATCAACAAAAACAATTATGCAACGATGCTTTTCATGCCAAAACAAGTCAGTCTGCCAAAAATTAGCTCGGTCCTGCAAAAAATAAAAATCAGCCCAAAATGGTACGTACGCCCTTTTTGCACGAAAGCCTTCAATTATTGGTTGAGGTTTTTTTGATACCTGGAATAATCAAGGTCGAGGTAAGTGTTATCAGCCTCAGCCTTCGGCTTCGGCTGATAACACTAACCGAGACCTTGATTATTTCAGATACCACAAAAACTGAATCTAATAATTGTTTTAGTATACACTGTTATAAAGAGAATAACAACAAATGCATTATCGCACCGAACACAGTTTATTTTCAACAAGGCATGTTCTTACTTCTCTGTCCTTGAACTTGACATTGCTCTTGGAAATCATGCATTGCCCGTGCAACCTACAGATTATTCACTAATGTGCTAGCAGATTAGTGAACTGTACGTTGCGCTGTTTCATGTGGCTAAATATCATTTAGGCAAGGTTAAACTCGAGCTAATGCAGCTAGCTAGTGTGCCCATCCAGCT